TGCGAATCGCATCGCTGGCTTTAGCGATTTGGCGTAAAACGTCTTTTTGCTCCCGAAGTTTTCCGCGTTGCGTGTTTTCGCTGCCGAATCCAAAACGTTACTGCATTCACTTTTTTCAATGATCACTCATTTATGCTCACGAAGCAATCGAATCCTTTTCTGTATCTACCTCCGTCGAGGTCGCTGTCCTTGTCGATCACGAGAAACCCATACTTATCACCGTTCCAGCATGCCGAACACAGGTCTTTAAACCGTGCGTAAGTTATATCAGTGTTTACAAGGTCATCGTAAACATGCTTAAGATTCATTTCATCCTGCTTAAAGAGCACCAGCAGATTAGCATTATCCCGTACCAGATGTTTGGGAATGCGAGCGTACGTTTGACAGAGATAGAAACAGTCAACGTCCCTGTGCCGTCCCATGCTGAAGAAGGCTCTAATGTTATCTTGCTTCTCGCAGGCAATGTCGTCGTAAATAATTATCGAGTTTCGACGTGCCTCGTTCGGTAGCAGCACTTGTTCGTGTTCCGTAAAGGGAAAGTACTCGACGCCGTCCACGGATGCGAGTAAACGTTCTAAAAACTTGTACTTTGGCTGATTAAGCGATTTTGAGTATACGTAAACATTTTTGAATCTTAATCCGTTCGGATGAGTTATGAGAGCGAGCAGTGCGTTCGATTGGCCGCAATTGGATGGTTCGCAAAACACTGCTCGTATACTGTCTGGCAGTAATTCGCCGTGTCGCTTGACCTCCTTCTTCTCCTTTACTCGCACGATTTTGTCAAAGTTCGTTACAGGTAACCTGACGGACTGCTTCGACTTGTTGCGTCGCGACATAAACGCAGAAAACTGGATTCATTTTTTCGCCCTCGGATACACATTTAGACTTGGTACACAAGTCATCGAAATGCTCCCAGTTATCTCCATATTTAGCATAGGCAGAGTAGTGCCCTTCTCCCGTTACTGTACTGCCTGGACGGAAATGAACGATGCCTGCCAAGTTGTACACTGATTCGTTCAAGTTAATATTTATTGGGAAAGATTTCAGTTCATATGCGCTATCACAGCTTCCAATGCATTCTATAAACAAATGAGGACGGTAATTAATTGTTGTGCGCAATTTCGCATTACATATTGGACAGTCTTTTTCCGAACCCATATCTTCCCCATGCTTGATCGCATCTTCTAGTTTGCCGTACCCGTGAGCCTGAATTGTTTTAAAATCTAGTTGAACTAGCATTATACTTTTGCTAGTACTGTTTTCGCAAGTTAAACATTCCTTGCGCGTTTTGAAACTTGGCTCCTCCTTGAATATCCATTTGCACAAGTTGCATATGTTCGACAGCGCGTTAATGGTAACTATACCGTGTATTTTTTCTTCAACAAAGCATGAAGCTTCGATCAGAAGACGCGCTCGTTCCTTGTAAATTGGCGGGCTTGGTCCCTTAGCTGTAAAAGCTTTGGTGAACTGGAACACCTTGGAAGAAGCAGTTTGAACTACCTCATTGAATGTATCATGAATACATGCAGCGACTAATAACTGCTGAATACTATCGAAACCACATGTGTTCATCACGATAAATCTTTTCCTTTTCTCCGTAAACGAGGGACACAGATTGCCATTCGAAAGTAGGCTCATCGCCACTTTTCGCCTTTTGCTAAACGTTGCCACACGTAACTCAGGATGCGGATCCAGATAAGTCCGTTTTCGTCTCTTTGTTGGCTCAGGCGGTTCATTTTTATTACGCCAATTATGTTCGAGTCTTAATTCATGCAATTCTTCTTTAGGTAACTCATCGTCACTATCGGAGTAAGAATCTTTTATAGTCACTGCAGGCATTACCATTCTAACCGATTCAACGTCTGATAGCTCTAACCATTCCCTACGTTCCTCCGCTGCAATGGTGCTCGGCGATGCACCGTTTAGAAGGCTTAATAATCTGCGATCAGATGGATTCGATTCAGCTTCGACATCATAAATCAAAACCTCAACGTCTTTTTTGTGTCAAATTTAACTGCGTTTTCTGCTCCTCGTTTTTTAATCTCTACCGGTTGTGTTTTTTCCGCCATTGCTTGCCCTGTTTTACCAACCATTTTTAGCTGTGTATTATGCACTTCCGTCGCTTCTTCTTTATCGAGATTCGCCGACTTTGAGTTGCTCATATCACTGGAGACATATACTTCGGTCTTGGCAAGCTTCATACGCCCCGAAAACGACAACAAGTGACTGTTGACAAATTTATCGATTCGTACTGGGCCAGATTTGGCATGAAACAGCCGATTCTTTAAATCGTTAAATAGATGAAGTAGCAGTTGGATTGCCAAATCCAAAGATCGATGGCATAATTCGGGTGTAGAGTGGGAAATAATGCAGTAACGACTTAATCTTTTGCCCAATAGCCGGCGCATAATAAGGATTTACATCCTCACCTTTACGCTCCGACTGTCCCCCCTTTTTAGCCGCTTCCTCGCACTCTTCGAAAAAGATAACTGCCCATTCAAGTACTGTTTGAGGGATATCGTCTTGGTTATTTACGTCGTTGTCGATTTCATCTTCTGTTTTAGCGGCTTGAGGTCTTTCTGCCTTCGATGCTTGAATGTGATCCATTACTAGAGATACTGTTGGGTTCGGATCACCTTTAGCGATGCGACGTAATCGTTGGAATGCTTCTTGAGCCAAACAGGAAAAGCCATCGATGTTGTCGCCATACTCTTCGCTGTTGCAAAGTATGATAACGGATTTTACAATATCTTTGTATTCGTCGAAATCTGTGACTTTAGTGAGATAGGACATTACCATTATATACAATGTACGCGCGAGAGGATGGATTTTTGATTGTACGTCCCAACGACAAATCATGTGGACATAATGAGATACATCCAATCGCAGAAGACATGAGGACAATTGATCCGATACTCTTGTAATGCAGTTGAAGCATCACGATAGATAATCTTTTAAATCTCGACATTGCCCAAACACTCTCGCTAGCGGACCCATCGATGCTTTGTCGAAATCGCAAACGACTTGCTTCGGTAATGGAAAGTTTGATCTGTGTTTACTACCAATTCTTATGATTTCATTCAGCCAGAAGCATATAGAATTGGTGTTTTGAGAAGCGCTCAACATCTGGAAAACCGGTACTTTCGATTCCGCGGTTTCAGTGACGATGTGGTAAATATAAATATGAGGACAAAGTTCATCTGTTGTCATCTTTAATTTTCGAATCAATGAACCGGTGGCATCTAGAGATATATTCAAAGTTTTCTAAATAAATAGCTACTTGATGTAGCGTCCAGTAATGAACATAAACAGGATCCAGACCAATAGAATGAATTGAACCAGCATGTCTTCCGTATTTAAAGTTTCTTAGACTGTCCATGGGATCTTTTCCTTTTACGCCAAACTGAATATCCTCTGGTTCCTGTTTTGTTTTTCTCAAGACCGAGGTCTTCGGCAAATGTGCGGGTTCGGGCCCTCCGAACTCCATCAACTTGTCCGCTTCTTTTCTTCGCCAGATACAAGACAGAATATTACTGTCTACCATTTGTTTAGAAATCTTAATTCTCCTTTGGCCTTTAAGTTGACGTTTTTTGCGATGCAAGACAGAGTCATCAAAATTTTCTACGACACAGTCCATTGTGACGTCACGTCTCGGTGGAGGCTTATTGGCAATCATTCCCGAAAAAGAGCTGCCGCATTCTCCACAAGTTCCAAAAACTTTCAGGAATATTCCAGATTCCGTCATTTTACACCGTCGGAAAGAAAATGTACACGGTAGATCAGTCTGATCCGAAATAAGTTCATATAATGTATCTGTCCAGACTTTACGAGAAAGAACAGTGTAATTCCGTTCGGATAGTACTCTGTCCTTATGTCGTAGTTCTGCTGGAGTCATAATGACCCAAGTCTTGTAGGGAATATTCAAACTGAATGAGATTTCATCTTTCAATTTTGAATCTTTCCGTTTTGCATCCAATTCCGAGTCGTCCAACTTCGAATCGTCACGAACTTCGATTTCATGAAACGCGAGAATTGTGTGCCAAGTCTCATATCGATTGTTTTTTAAATTTGTATATATGTATGTGCTTAGGGCTGATTTTATACTCATCGTTGCTAAGATTGTCGCTAATTTTTTGGTATACCTCATGACTCGGCACAACGGGTTGTCCGGATGCATCTATAAGACAGAGGTAATCGGGAGATAAGACCTCGTTCAAAATTTTTAATCTATGATGCGCCATTCTCTAACGATGTTTATAGTATTTATTGAGTTTTCTTAGCTATACGGCGTAGGTATACGGCATATGAATATACGGTGCTAAGCGATGTCACTATATTCTGCAGCAGAGGAGCCGCACCATTCGGAACTTCGTACCGTAGCCAGGCTATCGTTGTTATATGACAACACAGCACACGGGCAGTAGAGGCTCATGAACTCTGGAAAGTGCGCTCCCGAACGCAGGCGAAGGCAGACACTTGCTTGAGTCCTGCTTAGCCGGCCGCGCGTAGCAAGGTTCGGCGGCATGTAGAAAATTTCCTTACATAGAGTTTCCTTGATATCCATGTATATGTATTAGAATCGATCGTGCAACAATGTCAAACGGCTGCACCGAAAATATAATGTCTTTCCCTATTATACGATCCCTTATTTTCATTTTACTATTTATTCTCAGCGAAAATGATTAAATTTTTGTTGAAGTAGTTCTTGCTATTTATCTATAATGTACTAATAAATGACTACCGCGCTTCGAAGTCTGCTTTCTTATATGAGGAAAGATGTCTATGGGAAATAATTAAGCCCAAAGGAGCCCAGAATTATAAATATTGAATTTTGAAAAACAACCGGTTACCCTAAATTAAAATTTATAAATTAATATTCCAAATTAATATTAAAAAGTAATACACAATAATAATATTCAAAATCAATATTCAAAATTAATATCTACAATTCAAGTTTATTGCGTTATTTATGTTCTGGGATAGACACACGTGTATATCGAAAGACAATATATATGTATAAATGTATAAACTTGTCAATAGTATAGTTTGAGGACCTTTGTAATTTAGGGGCGTTCACAATAGCAAGCTAATGTTAAAAAAAACCTTGGGACATCACAACATTGGAATTCTAACCTAATCTGACCTGACGAAACTTCTAAGCCCATTGCAGACACTGGATGTATAACATTGGAAAAATATAAACGAATTTGGTGTGACAGTCCGCTGTATGGTCCTCAAAACAGTCGTTACGTTGAATATATTGTAGATTGAGGTACGACTCCAAACTATACAATTGTTCTCAATGTATACATTGTATACTTCAAATTGTTCCCAAACTATGCTTTACACACAAATATACATGCGTAGATAGATATAGAAAAATAATGTATGTATGAGTTTGTGTCGCAAGTTGGATAGAAGTCAAAAAACCATTGAATGAAGAACAAGCTCGGCCAATACATTTTATTCTGGTGATTTTAATACTGTTCTAGGTTGTTCCAGACTTTCCTACACTGTTCCAGGTTGTTCTAGTTTGTTCCAGGTTGGTCTAGGTTTTTCTACATTTTCCCAGGTTCTTCGAAGTTGTTCCAGCTTGTTCTAGATTGTTCCAGGTTGTTCTTTGTTTTTCTGGATTTTTCTGAGTTGTTCTGGGTCTATTGATGATTGTTCAAGATTTGTATAGCAATCGGATAATAGAAACTAGCTTAGAACAAGGTAGAACAACATTCGAAATTGGAACTATACAATGTAGAACGATTTTATATGCAGAAATCGTTTTTTTGATCCCATTCGAGTATTCTTCACTTAGCGGTACTTATATTTTGGAACAATATTTAGAACAACTAGAACAACCTGGAACAACAAAAAAATGTTTGATTTTCCATAAATGGGGGGTTCCGGTAAAAAACTGTTTTTTTTTTCGTCTCAGAAACTTGTTTTTCTGGAACAATATAGAAAAAACATAGAACAACTCAGAACAAACAATGAAACCAGAATTTTCGAATTATAGGGGGCTAACTTCTCGGACCCAAACTTCTTCCCAATATTTGAATGCCGAAAAATTTGAAAATTACCATAACATTTGAAAATTACCATATTGTCAAAGGATTGCGAGTTCAAAATGGTGAGCTGTACATAAATGATCAAAGACTGGAAACCGCTCCACCTAGAGCTGTCATGAACAACTTCATTAATTTTCTACGACCAGGTCCTGTAACTTTGATTGCTCACAATGGGAATCGATTCGACTTTCTGATGCTGCTTGCAGAAGTATCTCAACTGGGTTTGATGCAGGAATTTCGCGCGGTTGTGTGTGGCTTGATGGATACCCTTCCATTTCTAAAGAAGAAACTACCAGAAAGGCTTAAAACCAAACAGTCATTCAGTCAATCGATACTTGCTAAAGACTTGGTAGGAGCTGATGCAGCTGTCGGGGCCCACAATGCTATCGCTGACGTGAGAATGCTGGAAATGGTCCTACAGAATATCGGAGTTACTGCTAGTGAACTTAACACTCATTGTCAGGCTGTTACTCTTCAATCTAAAATAACCGCGGACAGCGAAACAGCTAGAACTAAATTGAATCGATGTACGCTCGATTGCTTAAAGGGAAATGTTTCTACTGGCATGTTGACTAAGATGGCCCGGGCTAATATCACATTGAGCAAATTAAAGAATATTTTTGCTGATGGTGCAGAAGGCGGCATTAAAATGCTTCTGGGAATTGATGTTAACGGTCGTCCGAGGGTCACCAAAAATCAAAAAATTACACAAGCAGTAGTTAATGCACTGAAATCATCTACGTAAAATTAAAAATCTATGTTCGGGCCTTAATATGTTCCACGTACTGTTATTATATTATCGAAAAATAATAAATAATATATTAAACAACTTAAATGAATTATCTGCTTCTTATTTCTGTATAATTCTATAATAGACTAAAGAACAATATTTGTTTTTCGTTTATTTAGAATTTATCCATTATTATTGAATTCCAAGTGAACGATATTGAAGCTGAAGGCTGGTATGTTACCGACGCGATTTATGAGGTTATGTTGTATAACATATGTGTATAGTCTATACGTGTACACAGACTATATGTGTTGTAACAAAAATGTTACTGCAGGCTCCCCTCCGCCTCCTGGCTCGGGGTCCCATAGGCCTCGAGTATAGCGTCTTAGAGTTAAGTATTGTTAATTGCGTTTATTTAGTGTTTTAGGCTTAGTGTATTTAGCGTTAAGACCCCTTCCCTCCACCCCTCCCTCCCTGTCACCCTTCCCCGTAGGGCACTGGCTGCAATCCTGTACTTGGCGTAGTTTTTTACACGTAAGTGTTTTTTGGGGGTGTACATAGACGATGATAAAAACATACAATTTGGTGATCAATTCTTAGAGGAAATTGACCCAACACAACAACAAACTACTGCTCAAAAAACCGAAGCAAGCACGTTAGAAAAAATTTTAGAAAAATTACTGGAAAATAGTCAAGCTAACGCACAGCAGAGTTTAAAACAACTGACAGAAAAATTCATCATTGACAAATTCTCTAGCCAAAATCCAAATGCAAATCAATGGATAGAAACATTTGAGAAAGAATGCTCACGCTTAGGAGTAACAACAGATGAAAAGAAAATAGAGGTGCTTAGACTATTTTTAGATAAATCATGTACAGATTGGTATAGCTCAATGATGATAAAGCTAACAATTAATGCAGAATGGTCAGAATGGAGATTGAAATTCTGCGAAACATTTGCAAACAAAGGATGGAGCCCAGTCACGTATGCAATAACATACAAATACAAAGATGGCCCTCTTTTAGACTATGCAATGAGAAAAGAAAAAGCGTTATTAGATATGAGAAGGACCATCGACAAGGGCACACTAGTAAATTTAGTGACTATGGGTCTACCCTCATTTGTATTAAACAAAATAGACAGAGAAACACTAGAGGATACAGTTGACTTATTCAACGAAATCAGTAAATATGAACACATGGTATTAGGTAACAAAACATTTGATAAAAAGAAAGATACAACCAAAAGAAGCAACTACAAAATAGAAGAAAAAAACCCATGTCAAATCTGTGAGAAGCTTAACAAAGGCACTCGCTATCATCCCATAGAAAAATGTTGGTTCAAGCCGAAAGAAGAAACAAAAGAAAAGAAAGAGTACATCAGGCATGTGAACAACTCGGAAATAGAGGCAACATTGAACGACACCAAAGAAAAAAACGAGTAACCACACCATTAATTGAAGTCAAACGGCAGGTACAAAATAAATTACAATTATCAGCAATCTATGATTCCGGTTCAAATGTATCATTGATAAATGCAAAATTCTTAAAAATAAACGGAAGAAAGAATACTGATAATGATGTAAATTTAATAACAATTAATGGTGTGAAAAAAGCAAAAGGTTTGACAACACTAAAAGTTAAAATTTTCAAGATAGAAAAAGAAGTTGATGTGTACATAATTGAGGGATACAAGTATGATTTCTTGATAGGGCTAGGCATGATAAAAGAATTCAGATTGAGTCAAGATATGAATCTGGAGATCTCACAGAATAATGAACTGATAGAAGGCTCAAAAGAGATTATAAGTTCACTTAGTGAAGATGAGCAACCTACAAAAAAAGAAAACTCCAACAGTACATGTTCGAAGGTAAATAAAAATAATATTGAAAAATATGAAATAAACTTCAATGAACATATACCAAGTGAAAAATGTGAAATTGAAATAAACCACTTAAGTCTGCTTCAACAGAATGAAGTAGATAAAATAATCAATGAACATAAATCGTCATTTGCAAAAGATAAATATGATATAGGCACTGTAAAAAATTTTGAAGCAAGAATAGATTTGATAGTGGATAAATATTGCAGCAAAAGGCCATATAGATGCACATTAAAAGATAAACAAGAAATAGAAAAACAGGTAACAAAATTATTAGACGCAAAGTTGGTTGAGGAATCATATAGTCCATTCGCAGCACCAGTAACGCTGGCATTCAAGAGAGAAGACAATGAAAAGACGAGACTATGCATGGACTTTAGAGAGTTAAATAAGATAGTAATGCCACAAGCACAACCATTTCCACGAATAGAAGATTTGGCAATTAAAGCAAGAGACTGCCAAATCTTTTCAACTCTAGACATCAACTCGGCTTTTTGGTCGATTCCTTTACGCATAGAGGACAGAAGCAAGAAAGGATTCGTGACAGAAGAAAGACATCTATAATGGACGTGCTTACCATACCGATTAAAAACAGCTTCAGCAATTTTCCAAAGGATACTAAGTAACATTCTCAGGAAATACAATCTCACTGATTTTACTACAAATTACATAGATGATATACTAGTATTTTCAAAAATATTTGAAGAACACATGGACCACTTAAAAAAGCTATTAGAAGCAATACAAAAGGAAGTCCTTAGATTAAAATTCACTAAATGCACATTCGCTGCGAACACTGCTAAATACCTTGGTCACTTGATACGGTATAACTCAATTCAACCACTGACAGACAATCTAGTTTCGATAAAAGAATTTCCAACGCCAAAAACTCAAAAAAACGTTAGATCATTCTTAGGAAAAATCAATTTTTACCATGAGTACATACCAAAAATTGCACTAATATTAGAACCTTTACACAATTTACTAAGAAAAGAACAGAAATTCATCTGGTCAGATAAATGTCAAAAAGCATTCGACACGATAAAACAATTACTATGTTCAAAACCAATATTAGCAATTTACAGCCCAGATCTACCAATTAGAATTTACACAGATGCATCGCTAAAACAAGTACAAGCAGATGACAAAGAAAAATCAGTGGCCTACTTCTCAAGAAAACTGAATAACAGCCAAAAAAAGAAAAAGGCAATATTCCTATAATGCCTAGCAATAAAAGAAGCAGTAAGCTACTGGAAATATTGGTTGATGGGAAAACCGTTTATAGTATATACCGACCATAAACCACTAGAGAATTTGAACTTAAAAGCCAGAACAGATGAAGAATTAGGAGATCTGACTTATTATTTGTCACAATTTGAGATAAAAATAAAATACAAACCAGGTAAAACGAACCTAGAAGCAGACTATTTAAGCAGAAATCCGGTACTAGAACAAAAAAAGAACAATGAAAACGAACTAAAATTCATAAATATAATTAAGGTATCAGAAATTCAGATTGATTAAAGTTGTAACCGAGATTTACAAAAGAATAAAAAGAAACTAATTAAAGAGAAAGAAATCTATTACAAAAGAAGAAAGAAAAATAAAAAAATAATATCTGAAGAGCTTAGCCGGAAACTGATAAAGGAGGTACATGAAAATCTGAGTCACATCTGAGTCAAATCTGAGTTTTACAAACTCTGCAGTACCCTCCATCAAAGGGTGTTTCGCTTTCGTTCTTTGAAAAGATCTAAGACATTATGGGCAATCGCGCACGGATTGACAGACGTTCTTTTCTTTTCCCTTTTGTTTGTTAAGTAGGATGTTTATATGGTTATCGAGGCATTTTGGCCCAACAAAATACCTACAACACTTGAGACATTTCACGGTGAGGAGACTTGTATCACAGAGTGGTTGTCCGAAACATCTAGCAAACTTGTGAGAGCATTTATGCTCTGTAACGTTTGTGTAGGCCTAGTTACATGGTACACAGAAACCGCGACTCCCGACCGCACCCCGTAAATTTAGAATCGGTTGATAATGTTTCAAATTATTATAATATAAAATGCGGAGCGTCTGCCGCGGTTTTTCCGATCCGTATACGATATCAACGATTTGCGATCCGTTGTACAACGGATTCTCACCGGTTCCTATATTCTCAAACTCATGCATGAACTTGTGAAATATGTGTGTATATCCCTGACAGCTCCTTGTAACCAAGACATCACACTCGTATCTTGGTCCGCAGGTGATCGGGTAATAGTCATTCTTATTTCACTTCCGTGTAAACGAAACCTTTTTATCCAACGTCATTTCGGATTGTATGGTAAACCTATGACCTGGTGGTAAAACATCATTATCAGTGTCTTCTTCTTTTTCTCCATCTTCATGATCATCGTCGTCCTCGTTTGATTGAATAATACGGCCAATCCCCGTTTGACAGTACATCTTGTCGTCATCCGCAGCGTCTAGTGATTGAACAATTTTTTTTTTATTCCAATTACCGAATATCGTAAAATTATTAATAAGCGCACTAACTTCTCATTCTTCACGAAGGATAATTGCCGATCCTATGTATGAGAATATTGTGTCTAATTCGATTTCACCATTCCCTACATTTTGAGATTTAGTAATTTCTACTGAAAACGACAGTGGTAGTACAGAACATCAATATGTTATTACTTTCTTCGAGGAGAATCGGCTCCATGGTTTCGGAAATGCTCTGTACATCGTTATCGGAGTCTGTATCACCGTCCGTGTCATCGGTATCGCTGGCCAATAGTGCTATCCGCGCCTTTTCTTCAGCGATGTCTTCCTGATGCGGTGATAGGGGAATGACCAGGGATCTTGGCACTCTGAATGGACCGTTGTTAGGTGCGGCGACATTACCGTCAACCATCCATGACTCTGATTTTTTTTAAATATATGAATTTTCCTGATCATCCGCAATTGCTGTTATTATTAAAACATTGGTCGTTACCTCCTACAGATTCATGATTGGGGTTAATAAAGCTACTGCTACTGCTATCACTTTCTTCGCTATAACGATCATACAGGCGTTGTGTTAGCGTCGATGGGCCTGGTAGTGGCTCTGTATAACAGTATATTGTGCACCGAGAGCAAAAACGGGCGC